GCAACTTGATCAACCTCAGTCAGGCGAATGCGAGAAAAATGAGATGGGCGAAAGGTCTTTGCCTCTTTCGCCGAATCAAATCTCGCCAGGTCATGTCAGGGGCCAGCTCAGGCTCATCGGCATTCATGCCATCGGGATCCTCATTGACCTTTTTCTTCTTCTTCGCCGCGATGAAGGAAGGATCAAACTTGACATTCCATTTTTGACCCTTTTGCATGAAGAGCTTGAAGTGGTCTTGGGCACCTGGCTTAGTCAAGCCATCTGCTAATTGTGCCTCTGATGAGACCCAAAGGAGGTCTGTGTTCTGTCTCGTCACGTTCTCTCGAAGACAAAGCAGTTCGAGAGAGGAGTACTTTTCTTTGAGCGAAAAACCTGAGCAAGCTCCTTCACCCTTGTGGTATGCATCGTAGACGCTCTTTGCGTCAGTCACCAAAGCTCCATCTATCTTCTTCGTTGCTTCTTCTGGAGCTCGAAGATCAAGACGATGCCCACATAGCTCAGACCAGAGCGCACGGCAGTACATGAGCTCTTGCTCACATTCTCCAAGGGATTGGAGTTCAGCTGAAAGGGAACTGCGGGCCACACGTGGCAGCTTACCACTCCTCCAAGCCACCAAGTTCACTGGTGAACGAACACCATCCAAGATCTCCTTGTTACAAAGGCCTATGACATAGGCTCCCGTTGATCCCATGTCTGGTCGATTAGCGACTGCTGCGTCCGACCAGCCAATCATCACTAGCTCATTGTCAGAGGTGGCATTCAACTGTTGGACCTTGATGGAGAGGCCTCGCTGAGCAAAAACTTCTCTGACCAGCTTGTTAATCTGGATCAGCACATCCTTGGAGTCTTGCTGTCGTGGAAGCATGCTTTGGAGCATGGAAAGGCGAGCTGCGTGCTGAGGACCCGTTTGGGTCACACGCCATTGGATTGCTCCAAGCACGGCGCGGGCTTGAGAGAGTTCAGCCGGAGTAACGCCCTCGGAGGTCTTGTCAATATCGATCTGTTTGATCTGCAGGGCATATTGTTCGTGATCTAGGCTGAAGCTGAAGTCCTTGTGCTGAATGACTTCCACACCGCAATGCAAGTAGGGATCAGCTTCCCAGGGACTCCATTTGAGTGCTCCATGGAATTGACGGAGGGTATTCAGCCAAAGTTCACTGTTTTCATCTCCGGTCACAATGAAATCGTCCACATGACTTGCCACTGCTCCATGCACCACACCAGCTTCATCTCGACAGACCCATATGCAGGGTTCACAGACCAGCCTGGTCATGTTGCATTGCTGCGTTGCAATGCGATGGACATCACCATACCACTCCCTGGGGGCATTGACCAGTCCATAGGCTGCCCGAAGCAAGCGAACCATCTCGCCCTTTTGCAGCTGCATGCCATGAGCTAACTCATCAACTGGACATGCGAACACGTCCCGGTTCCGTTGAGACTCAGAGCCTTGGAGAAATGCTGCTTTGGCGTCAGCCTTCATCGTGCGCCACTGCCTGTGCATGGCGAGGTTGAGGATCAGCTGTCTGCTTCGACGAGAGAGAGTAGGAGCTGCCTTATCCAAGTGTTCGCCGTCTGGGTCAGAATAACCCAAAACTACTATTCTTGCTTTGGCTTTCATCTTGCCAACTGAATCCGGGTTCTCCACATTCTTGAACACAAGGACCCACCGCATTTTCATGAGGCGAGATTTGGGCACTCGAAGACCTGCTCGTTCTGCCACTTTGTTCGCGATCCAAGAATCGACCTCAAGTCGCTTCGCTTCACTCATAGCCTGGCGCTGAGTTGCATTCAGCTTGTGCCAGGCAACTTCACAGCCCTTTTGTATCGATTTCGCTGAGTACTTCTTGGGGTCTTTAAGGATGCGTCGCCATTCATCTTCATTCTGAGGAGCATCGATGACGACGGAGAGAACAAAGTCATTGTCACCAGAGCTGCTCCAACCAATCAAGTCCTCACCCTGATACATCTTAGGGAACTTGGCATGATGAGGACGATCATCCATTTCATGCTTCTTTCTGGCCTTTTTGAACTGCCTTTGCTCCTCCCTCATTTCTTCATCACGAGGTTCGCCAGGAGGTTCAAGAGGATGAAGAGGAAGGTATGAAGGGTCGTTCAACAAACGATCCACGTCCAACTCTTCAGAATCATCAGGGCCAAGTCCAGGAGCCATAGAAGCATCTGGAATGAGCTCTTCGGAACTGTCACTGCCCATCGCTTCTGATTCACTGGGGTCACCTTGGTCATCATCTGTCCTTAGCTTCTTCGGTGTCCGGGATGGGCGAAAGGTCTGTCGCCTCTTGTGCTCAAAGCGCTCGGCGCGAGACGCCGTCAGATCTTCAAAGGCGCCCTTGTTCAGAGTGTTGCTGACCATGTTGAAGGTCCAAGGCATCGCCACTGTCTGAGAGGCATTGGCGATCAACAGCTCAGTCTCGGAAGCGTGTCGCACTTGGTCACAGTGTGTCTTCAAAAGCCTACCACCTGCAACAAGCCAGACAGTAGTAGAAGGCGATCTGGAGCTAGTAGTGGCACGTGTTTCACAGGCCAAGACTCGAGCCGGCCCAAACCATCGAGCAATCCTCATTCGCGGCACGTCCACATCAGCATTGGCAGGGGCCTGCTTCGGAGTTTTGTGCCGCTGGTAGAAGACAGTGTCACCAGGAATGAATTGCTTCACAGGTCGACTCCTGGTGTTCTGTGCTCTGGAAATGCGAGATGCCGCGGTGAGCTTGTTGTGCAAATGTTCGGCTTCTTGACGTAGACGAAGGTTCTCTGCCATGGCATGTCCAGCGATGCCTTCGGTGCAAGAAATTGCCACATTCTTGTCTGGCGAATCTGCGCGACCAAATGCCCATTGAGATGGAGCGTACCCGCCAACTCGAGTGACATGGTTGTGGGCACTCACCATGGCAAAGGCAGCACGCTTGGGATCACCAGGTTCGTGCCTCAAAAAGGTTTCCATCTTGTGGCGAAGCTCACCAATGGCTTTCTCAACTGCTCCAGTAGAAGAATGGTGTTCGGCTGGGGTGTGTAACAACTCAACTCCTCGTTCAGCACACCATCTTGCAAGATCAGTTCCACGAAAGGCACCTTCTGCATCGCACCTAATCTTTGAGGGAAAACCAAAAATCTGGCACCAGCTCTCCTCCAAAGTTTCAATCACCTCAGCCGTTGAGATGTTCTCGGACTGGTCCTCTGGGTGGTTCATGATCTCTTTGACCACTGCAAAAGAACTGGCCTCATCAAGAAGCAGTAAAAAGTGGTGTACGGTATGAGCATGACGAAAATGAAAGCTATCCATTTGCAAAGTCTTCCAAATGAACTCTTCTCTCTCTAAGGTCACACGGGCCAAAGGAGTTGCTGTTTGGCTCTCAACACAGTCTGGACAAACCAGTTGAGAAGCGGCAGCTTTCAATTCATCACTTGCACCACGAGCACGAAGAAGCTTCAGCATCGCTCGCCTATTGGGATGTCCACAAAGTCGGTGCAGTTTTCTCACCGTCTCCATGATATGTTGCAGCTCTTGAGGAGTCAGCTTGGAGAGCACTGAGGTGTCTGGATCTTCTTCTTCTTGAATACCCCCAACCAACATGGAATGCTTCAGCATCCCTTTTGCAGCTAAATGGCATAGTTGAGGAGTGTAGAACGCAGACTTGCGAGCATTAGAGCCAAGACACGGCACATGGTGGTGACTGCCATCACAAAGTCGGCCAAGGTCAGCTAATGCACCCTCTCGAGTGCACATGAATCTCCACGGCTTCTTCACAGGACCTTGCTCAGAGGTCAGACCAAGCATGCAACCATCTCCAAGCGTCTCATGAGCCATGCCCTTGTCCTTGAGGAAAGCCCAAAAACCTTCGACCTCAGGCAAACGCCAGGCACGGTTGTACCTAGGCCATTCCCAACCGATCTCGCCGTCGTTCTTCAGGTGTTCATGAAGAACTTGGAGTCCTCCTCTCAACACCTTTCTCGCATGACGCTTCCGGTAGAGGCTCTTCTGACGTCCAGCCTCAGTTCTTTCATTCAGGGCCTGCACCATTGAAGTCGGGCCGCATGGAAAGCTCACCCAAATCCAACGAGGTCGATGAAGGCGAAGGAGTTCCAGAGTGGCGTCAACGCCGCTCTGCTTGGTAAGATCGCAGCCATTGTGTAAACCTGCACGGCCACCTCTACCGCCGGCTCGAAGCACTGCCTCAGTGAGCTCGCTACCCGGGCTGCAACAAAGCTCCAACACATCCCAATGCTCCATGTAGGAAAGACCACCATTGGCCACTAGAACAGAATCACATTCGTTCATCAGTTCTCCCACGGCCTCTGTCATAAAGGTCATCTCCTTGGGTGTCAAACGGCACAAATCTTCCTCCATAGGTTCAAAGGCGTCCTGGTAGAAGGGCTCTTCAAACGTCTCCTTCTGGGCTTTAACCCGGTCATTCACAGAAAGGAAGGCATTCTCAGGAACCTGAACATTCGGAGGCACCTGGGCATTCTTTAGAAAGCGGACATTCTTTGAATGCTTGGTGTTCGAATTCACTGGGACATTCGCAGTGGCGGCAAAGGTCTCATTCGTGTTCTTCTCCTCGAAGTCGCCGCCGATGTCCACATTGCTTGTCACTGGGATCGTGCCAGAGTGCTCGGAGAGGTCCGAACTGGCGACCACGATCCTTCTTGCTGTTGAGCCTCCTGGTACTCCAGATCCTCCGCTGCTTGCTCCCCCTTCCTGGTCTTTCGGCCTGGCACTTGAGAAAGCTCCTCCGCATCCGTGGGAGAAGGCTGAGCTGCCGAGGTGGGAGTGTAATCCGTCTCGTTGGTGGAAGGTGTCCCCGGCGCATAGCCCGCTGCTGCCTTCTTGGCCCGGATCTGGTCCAACTTGTTGAGGAGTGACCTCTCTGCTCCGTCCAAACCAATGGCTTGGTTCTTCAGCAAGGGATTGCCTGGCGCTTTCTCCCCCAACTCTTCCACCTGCTTCTTGGTATCCTCTGGGAGAGGACCGGCCTGACGGTGCAGACCTGTGGCCCCGTAAGCCGGGGTGTACTCCAGGCGCAGAAGACAAACACTGCATCCCGTCCATTTGGCATGGCCGTTGGAGCCCGTCACCGAGCCCCTGTAGGCTGCCGCCGGAGTGTGGTGACCCATGCATGGCGGTCCATGTGTGCGGGGGTCCCGAGGATCTGCCAGCACCGTCCTCGAAGTGTCGAAGCGCTCGTCCGGCGGCGCTGCGGCTTTCTTCTTCGGCTTGGTCTCCGAAGACAACTTGCCCGAAGACGCCGCTGCTTTCGATGCCGGCTGGGCCATTGCTGGAAGGAGTGAGGATCGCAACTGAGGAGGCGGCGAGCAAAGTCAGAGCTCGAAGTGACATCTCTTGTCTTTGAGCCTGGAGGTCGGTCAAACAAGCGTTCTCATTCAAACATGTACTCGAAGGTGAAGAAAAACGCACAGCAAAACATGAACTCAAAAATTCTTCAGCATGTTCTCCATGAAGTTGGTGCAACTGTGAAAGCTCATGCTCATGCAAAAATGACTCGACACTCAACGCTGACAGTGGCAAAGGACTGGATGAGGGTAGTTCTTCATTCTCAACCATGAAGCACGACGGAGCGGCAGGAACACCATATTGCGACCGGTCGGAGGTCTCGGAGGTAAAAAGGATCTTTGATCCATCGGTCAACCAGTCGTGAGAAAGATCCATCAGCAGGTGTCCTGACGAACTTTTCCTCAACGGAATCAAAAGGGAGGCATCTATTGCCGTCAAAACCAAAGCACTTCGTGAGCAATCCAACAGAGCACCAAGTCTTGACAGGGTGCGGATGCCAACAAGAACAGGAACACCCTCTGCCTCCAAGGTGTATATTCCAAGGCTCAGTTGGTGAGCTCCAAGGCGTTGGGGCAGGAGAATCATGCTCTCACTCTTCTGGACCATCCCGTTGCCAAAGCGGAACCATTTGTTGGGAAGGTCCACCACTTGGAAATCATCCAGGGAGCAGCCAGCTTCCTTCCGTCGAAACATGATGCGCTCCAAGGCACCGAGTCCTGCCACAGTCTCGGTTGCACCCGTGTCGAGCACACCAACGCCATCTTGCTCTGGGGAAGTGATGGCGCCCACCGTCAGGATGGACAAAGGATTGGCCGGGCTTGACCAAGGGTGACAAACAAAGGTCTCTTCAACCTGGCCACCGTCGTTCACCTCATGAGCATCCATGGAGTCAATCATGAAGACTTTTCCTCCACTGCCTGAACCTTTTCCAGTCTTTGAGCGACGAGGACATGAACGAAAATCATGGCTCTTGTCCCCACAAATGAAGCAACCCGTGTAGGAGGGAGAACCGGGTTTGCCTCCACTCACAGCTAGCACCGGCGATACCGAAGGAGGTGAAGAGGAAAAAGAGGGTCTACCACCAAAGCGCTTGCCTTTACCTTTCCGAAGTCCACCAAAAGAACTCTTGCCCTTGAACTTCCCCTTGGGGTAAAAACCACGGCTTGCATTCTTGGCAGCAGCGGCACGTCTGCTGTCCTGGAAAGAGCGCATCTTTTCTTCATAGGCCGCGTAGGCTTCAACCACCGGCTGAGCTTCTTCAGGTGAGCTCCAAAGCACTGCATTCCAAGCATCAGTCTCGCTCCAGGCCCAAAAGGTCCCAAGTGAATCTTGGTGGTAATATTCACCATCGTTCTCCTGGGTCCACCAAACATAGGCACCAGGATTGTGAGGATCACTAGCCCAAAAACCTTCTTCCATCAACTCATCCAAGTCATGACGAGAAGGTGGAGTTTGAGCGCCTTCCCATGTGGTCTGGAAGACCTGGTCCACAGCTTGGCCAGACAGCCAATGAATCTCATTCTGTTCCAGGAGGTCCTCAGTCTCGGCCTCCTCAGTGAGCAAAATGCCCCAATCACCTTCTTGTTCGACCCAAAAGGAAGTCCTATGCTTGCCCTTGCCGTGTCCTTTGGGGCGTCCTTCACGCTCACGCTCAACCAAACGCAACTCATCTTCAGCTCCTCGAAGACCTCGCTCGACGTCCTCGGCACGGAGGGAATTTCCAATGCTTGACAAAACGTTCAAGCGTTGAGCAGCATTCAGTGAAGACTTTCTCAACATGATCCAGCCGATGAGTTCAGTCGGCAGGACCTCAGGAAGACCGATGTCAAGGTCGTCCCAAAGAGCAGAGCCTCCTTCTTCATCATCACTGTCAGAGCCCTCAGAGCCTCGTGAGCCACGAGAAGGAGAGCCACCTTCTTTCTTCCTCTCTCGTTCAGCCGTCCGGCTGGGAGAACGCACTTCTTCTTCTTCAACTTCCACAAAGCGTTCTGCTTCCTCTGCCTCCGTCCCTTCTTCAGCCGCAGGCTCAGGAGCAGATCTCGGTCGTGAAGAGGTCGTCGATGTAGGTCCATTCACTTTGGCATCAGGAACATCGAGGCGAGCACGCTTCAGCGCGCGCTGCAATTTGCGGTACGCTTCCCGTACCTGGTGACACCAAGTTGCCATAGAAGTTCCCGGAAGACGCCGGAGTCGAAGTAGCAAGTTCTCAGCCTGGGATCCCGCATCTGGGATGGGAACCCGTGCAAGCCTTTCTTCTAGAAAGGACACTAAGTAGCGAGCACCACTTGGTTGAGTGAGAAGGCGATGATCAATCTCCTGGGTCACAATCCAAGCTCTTCCACTCAGCTGAGAGACAAGTTCTGGGCCCAACTGTCCGTGGCGACGACGGCGTGTCTTCTCGAAAGCCAGTCGCACACGACGAACATAGTCAGGCCATGTACTGAAGTCTCCATCCCATTGGCACCTGAGGAAATTGTCCTTGTCTCGTTCAGACATTGCTCTAACAAAGAGTTCACAAAGAGGTCGGCAAAGAAGTAGCCAAAAAGGGAGGAAACAAAGAGCTATGCCACACGATCGTGCCGAGGTTCACCTCAATGACTCGTGCACTGAGACTCATCCCAAAACCTAACCAATTCCACTTCCAACGCCCTGGATCTCAAAACTCGTGCAA